CCTTTGACAGGCCCGACATCGAGAGAACCCATGTCCGGCACTTGGCAATGGCCGGTAACACCTGCAACGCCTGCAGGATGCACGAGGAGATTCGCGCGCTCAGTTTGAAAGCGATTAAGGAGCAGATCCTGAACAAGCTCGGCTTGAAGCAGGCGCCGAACATGACGGGTCGTGCCCTGCCGAGGATCCCGCCGATCTCGAAGCTGATGGACATGTACGGGATGCAGGCCGATCAACCACAGCCTCTCGAGCCTGGTATCACGCACCACGAGGAGGTCGACGAATATGCCGCCAAGACGGAGAGTGTCTTTGCCTTGGCGCAGCCCCGTAAGTCTCTTCTTCCGTTTCCTTCCTTCTGCAGGATGTCCCACATGGAGGAGAAGACTGGGACAGACAGAACTCATATAATATCACTTCATTTTGTTTTTTTATTAGTTTCGAAATGTAGCTGCTTTCAATTTCGTGGAATATTTTAAATTATTAAACTGAATAATTAACTGAAAAAAAAATTAGATAAACTTTTGTGTGGTTTTACATGCTTCAAAATTAATTTCTACGAAAACCATTAGTAACGCTATGTTTTAGACAATATTATTAAAAGCTGTGGATCTCTTACCAGTCTCTTACCAGTCAATTTGAAAACATAAGAAATTTAAATACGATAAATGCAATTTAAATAAAAACAAAACAGCTCGTATAGGACAAACGATAATAAGTAGAAGACCGAGCAAAAATACGTATCGTTTCAAATAATAATACAAAATTTATCGTAATAGAGAATAAGTAACAGAAAATTCAAGTTAAGTAGAGTAAAAATTATTTATTTATCGTTTTTTACGATTTTTAATTTGTTTTTAATTGTTGTATATATATTATATATGTTACGCGGAGATATGGTTTTTACAAACCCTGACTATTCTAGTTTTTGGTTTTTCTTTTTCACATGATTTAATCCACCTAGCTCGCAGTTATTTCTTTACATATTTTATTAATTTTTTATATATTCGATTATTAGTATCACTTTCTCTGCTGATGAAAGCTTTGTGTCCGAAACGTTCGAACAATTTTAAATTGTACTTAGATCGTTTGACCTTCTACTTACTTATTATAATAAGAAATTTGTTACGATATATAATTAAAAAAAAAATCTCGAAAATTAAATGACGAAGCAGTTCAGTTGTGAAATCCGTGGAAAGTATCATGCGGTATTTTATTGGTATATGCTGGCGATGTTAGGAAGATTAAAAATCTTTCTCAATAAATTATCAAATGCAATGTGCGTGCTGAGTTGCGATTCTTTTTTCTTTTTTTTTGCGAGATGTTTAGTCTGATGCACGATTGCAAAAACTCGTTGTGCATATCTTAGCAAAAGGTAGCGTTATCCCAAAGATCAACCAGGCGCCACGGTTCACTCAGAATTAATTACCGCGAGTGGTAATATTTCATACACGACACCGATCATGTTTTCCTTGGCAACGTCAAGTAAATTAACCTCAGCGACTCGGCGATCCGTCCGGCGTGACTCGCGTATATATACGCTATCGCATGCAACATACACTGAATTGCATCGTATCATCGCCGCTGATGAGCATCTTGTAACTTAATAGTACCGAAGTAACAATTATATAACTGGCTCTCACATCCGACATCCGTTACTGTTAACTCAACGACTTACCTCCGACGAGTAGCAGCATAAAACGTTTGCTGTACGCAAATCCTTTTACATCGGTACAAATTAAAAATATAATGTAACCCAATAGCAAGGAACGATGCAAATCTAATATAAAAGAGAAATAAAATGAGATTTTAAAGGAAAAAAGTAAAAAGAAAGTTTTTGTGAAATAAAATAGATGAGTTAAAGTCGATTAAAGCGAAAATTTATTATTTTTATGATTAATTTCGAAAGTTTATGTAAAAGTTTCTTTAAAATTTTCGCTTCTTTACTTGCACAATTACAGAAACCCTACTATTGAGGAGGTTTATCTTCTAAAATTATTACATTATACAACTATATTTTATTATAAGTATTATTTTACGTTATTATTCTAAATCATAAATTCTTCATATTTTTCGAAAGTTCTAATTTTTGAACAAGCATTTTTATCAAATTTTTCAATACAAAAGAAAAGTTCGAAAGAAATGTGTTTTCGAATCTATTTGTAAAATTTTGTACAATTCTTTATATGTACAATTCTCTATATAAAGTATATTTGCACAAAATATTTATACGATTTTTTTTTCATCCTTACGATGAGCGGAGTACAGCTTTTAAACTTTAGTCATCTATTTCAGAAATGCTCTCTATAATATATCTTACACACTAGGTGTTCTGTAACTCGTACTTCTGAATTTTTTTTGGAAATTTCTTCAGTCTATGCCGGATCATTTTTCGTTGCGAGAATCAAACAAAAAGATTATCATTATTTACAACTTTCTAATATGCGATTATAAATAATATTCCAACGAATTAATTTTGACATTGTGCCCGCGTAAGTTGCAAAAATATGTGCCCGACGGCACGTCGGAATGGGAGGAATGAGCGAGTGCTTATCCGATGACACGAAGCGCACAGCGCGTCAACGTAATTGGCAGATTACGTGATTTATTATCGATTGCTTTCGATTGCAAGACGTGTCAAAAATTAGAAACGTCAAGAGCGGCAACCGGAGACCGAGGAGGAGGAGATCAAGGATACTGCGCGTTTTCGGGGACACCCTGTATGCTCTTCGTGCATAATATACACTTGTTAAGGAGCAGAAGGAGCTCCAAACGGTCCGCCGCCGCACGAGTCCCTCGGGCGAAACTGTCTTCGAGCCACTTGCCGCTAAGCACGTAATAGTGGCGGTAGGACCGCAACCTGTTATTAAGGCCCCCGTGTTCGCGAAAAAAGAGAGAGAGAGAGAGAGAGAGAGAGAGAGAGAGAGAGAGAACGAAAAGAAGAAAAAAAGAGAGAAAGGGGAAGAAACAAAATAAGATCAACGACCTGCTTAGGAACTCAGATCGGCGAGGGAGACCGATCGCGGTCTCGCTAACCGCGAGACTGGCGTGCTTTCTTTCTGGGCGAATCTGAATTTTTTATGAGCGTAATATATGCCCCGAGTACTCTCGACGGCGAATCTTCACCGGCGCGCGACACCGATCGTATATATTGCGGACGATTATCGCGTATCAGCGCGATTACAGACACTTTGGCATAAACCGATAAAATGTTAACTTATTATTATCTGTATCGTGCCAATTATAGCTTTGCTTTCCAGTGTTGCAATCCGTGAGAGACGAGATTGAAATTCCTGTGTGAACTCGCGTTATATCTAATCGTGCGTACCAATCGTGCGAATATTTTATAGAGTATTTAACGATGAATAAATTCCTTCGGGAAACAATAAGAACTCCAAATTGCCCATGTCGAAAAGTGTAGGCCGATATATTTATAGGTCATATTCATTTGTAACTAGCTTCTACGCTTCTAAACGTTTCTAAGCTCTTTACAAATCACCGCATCTTCCATTGTACACGTTAAAGTGTAGCAATCGACGTCGGACAGTTCGCTTCCTAAACTGATCTTGTCGCAGTCTTGCAGCAGTCGAAAATACGTATGCATATATTTAGCATTGCTCAGATAACGAAGAAGCGCGAATGAGAGTTCAAAAGTTACGCCCACTGCTCAGCAATATCGGTGAGATTAATAGCCGGAACGAATAGTAAATAGGAAAAATAAAAAAAAAGAAAAAAAAGAATGCATGTACATGTAGAACCGTGATAAATAATTCGCGGCGATTTTAACATACAGTGCACGAGCACCATGTATAATACGCACGATTTGTACTCGAAAGCATCTGATCTCGATCGCTGTCGGTGTTGTCAGAGGTATTGAACTTGGAATAGAAAATAGCATCGAAAGTGAGCCAAAAAAAAAAAGACTGACAAATCGGTATCGCATTTGCGGGTTATCGGAACGACCTCTTGTCTCTTCGTCTAATCGTCTCGGTTCCCGCTGCGGGGAACGATTTTTGAAAATCCATTTGCGCGAATTTTCTTTCCTCGCATGTATCTTCGCGTGTCTTCTTCACTTTTCACTACTTTATGAAAGTCTTTATCTGTAGTTGAGTAATGTTAACATCCGTAAAATTTTTTAAATATTTTTTTTTACTTATTTTCTTTCTTTCTTTCTTATTCTTTCTCTTAATTTTTCTTATTTCCTTCTATTTTATTTAAATATTTACTTTATTACTTTATTACTTTATTAAAATTTTATTATAATGTACATCTTTAATGCATGAATATCACAAATCGAATAGCATATTGATATTAATTATACGTAATTATATTAAATATATGATAATAATTTAGAAAAAACTTATTTTATTCCAATTGTTTTTGTTCTTTATGATTAGATAAAATTTTTACTACATAAAAATTCATGCATAATTATGTAATATCCTTATTATTATTTTAATCTCTGATTTTTTTGTATATCTTCTTCTGTTAGTTTCAATGCGCTTGCATTATGTGCATACATTATTGTATTGATTTATCATTATTTAACACAATTTTCTTTGTATCAATTTTCTTAATTTATTTTTTGTTTATTACTTTGTTACTTTTTGTCTGCTTTTTCCGCAATGTATTTTCTTCTAGCCTAGATATTTATTTTTTTATCGCTTCCGTGCCACGTGACTTTCTTTCGTGATAATTCTGAAGATGCATAAACATTTCTTAAATCATTATCATTTTCTATTTTCGTCTTCTTTAATTTTTTTTCTTTTTTTAAATCGTCGACTTTTTCACAATCTTTTTTTCTATACTCATATTTTTTTTTTTATCGAAATCTGTTTTCTTTATTCTTTTTTTGCGTTCGTGTATTGTTCTTTCCATACATTCTTTGGTAAAACGATTGCCGATTATCTGTTTGCTCGATAAGAGTATTGGACCGATGTCCAATGCGAATCAAAGTGGGTTTAAGGCAGTTGGAAAAATTAATTCGCAATAGTCTGAGAAATTTCTTTAAAGTTCTTTTCTGAAAAGAGTTCTTTTCACTAATTTTAGCGATAACTTTTTTACACTTATATCATATCTTTTTTCGCGATTTTGATCGATATTTTCCTTTTCATCATGTCCATCTGAGTAATCAATCATTTCTGATTGATAGTATTTATTTGATTATATCTTAACAAGTTTGAGCGTTAAAACTTCGTACGGCAGAGAGATAGCAGGTCTTAAAAATTCATTACGATAAAAAGACTCGCTGCGTCTCTTTGTAGTCACCGCCGCGTGTAACCCCGATGACGCTGACCAAAATTATTCCTGCGGGAAATATAGCGCGCACG